GTAGTAAATCAAGAAACAAAGGAACGAACGAATAAATGATTAACTGAATGATTGAACGATTGGTTGAATGAATAAATTAGCTAATTAATCAACCAATGATTTAATGAATGAATAGAATGAATCAATGAATAAATTAACTGAGGAATAATTTGAAAGATAGTGATAAAATGAATGAATGAATGAGAAAAATAAAAAAAAGGAACTAAATCATACTTCAAAAACCGTCGTTGTTGTTATCTTCGAATTGTAATCGAAACGATCATCACGAGACCTCCATCTGAAACGTGCTGATGCCCACCACAGCCCACCTCTCAACATTCTGTAGACATTTTTTTAATAGCATATTAGTAAATCAAGGAACAAAGGAACGATCGAATAAATGATTAACTGAATGATTGAATAATTGGTTGAATGAATGAGTGAATGAATGAATTAATTAATTAATAAATCAATAATTCAATTAATGAATAGAACGAAATAACAAATCAATTAATAGAAGGATAATTTAAAAGGTTGAGGGATAAAATGAACGAATGAGAAAAATAAAAAACGAAACTAAACCTTACTTCAAAAATCGTCGTTACTGTACTTTCCATTGCACCGACCACCACCATCTGGTCGGCACACAAAATACCATCCGAGCTTCAGAGTGTCAGTCGAACAGCCAACGAGCTGATTCTTCCTACACCACCATCATCATATGTAAATCATCATGAGACCACCATCTAAAACGTGCTGACTCCCTGCCAACCTCTCATCATTCTGTAGGCAATTTTTTTTATTTGCGTAGTAGTAAATGAATATTAGAATTTTAGAAGCAAAGAAACTATAAAATAAAATAATGTCAAATAAATAATATTTTAAAATAATAAAAAAAATAAAATGTAAAAAACTTACCGTCGTCCATTCGACAAAGGCAGAATGTTGAATGCGGTCCGGTTCCTACGTTGTCCTCCAAAACAGCCCGTGTTGATGGAGAAAGATAAAGAGAGGATTCTCATCAGAAAGCTTAGCGGTGCGTGCAGCTCAAATTGCTTAATAAAAATAATCCTATCTACCTATTCAATTACCTTAACTAATCTATATTAAATTTTTAATGGTACGATAGTCGAAAGTCCCCCTTCATTCTCCATCCTTGCACAGAGGTTCACCGACAGCCAGGGCACCGGATAGTAAACCATTGCCGTGCGGATAGTAGACTATTGTCGAGCGGATAGTAAACCATTTGCCGTCCGGAAACCGTGCGGGTAGTAGACTATGGCCGTGCCGCTTAGTAAATTATTACCGTGCAGATAGTAAACCATTGCCGTCCGGATAGTAAACCATTGCCGGTTCACCACTGGCCACCAAGGCTTACCTCTGACAAGAGACTTCGAAATTCAGAGTCTATCGGTTATCGTACCCTCAACTTACCTATTTATTACAATTAAGCCCTAGCTTGCCTAAAATTACATAACTCAAGAGCCCAATTCATTTAGCCAATCGGCACCCACCCCACCACCTACGTAATGCCTTGGGCTCCAACTTAGTAATAATATAAAACTTAAACCCTATATCCATTAATGAGTATGTGTTACAACGTAGCCTTAACTTACCTATTCATTACATTACAGTCCTAGCTTACCTAAAATTACAAAACTCAAGAGCCCAATTCATTTAGCCAATCGGCGCCCACCCCACCACCTACGTAATGCCTTGGGCTCCAACATAGTTAATAATAATATAAAACTTATATTAGCCTACCTATCGATACACTTACAGCATTTTAATTTACATTACAAGACTTTTCCTAGAATTACATTATTGCCCTTAACTACCTATGAAATTAAATTACTATCAACCTTAGTAATAATAAATTAGAATATGTAATGAAAATAAAATTACGCTCAAATACTAACATATGTGTTTATGTATGTATTTGTGTGTGTATGTAATACGCTGATGCGTGTAATGCGGATGCAAGAAAAAATAGAAGCGATAAACTTACGCTGCCTACCTATTCAACTACATTAGTGTTGGATGCTTCTCATCTATCCTACCTACAGTTAAAATTATGCCTATCTAACCTACCTATATAGCTACATAATGTAATTGTGTGTGTGTGTGTGTGTGTGCGTGTGAGCATTCTTACTTAATGTTAAATTACAGAGAAAAACAGAGAAAAAAGAATAAAACGTATCCCAGCCAGGCGTGTATTCTTTGCCACTGAATGAATGAACGTAGCCTGACATCTTCCATGATGAACTCCTCTGGAAGCTTCAACCTGAATGAAATGAATAAAATGCAAAAATCATATTTATTTAATCAATTTAAAAAAAAATAGAAAAACGAGACGCGGTGAAACCCGCCAGCCGGAAAAGCCAGCCAACTGGCAAAAAAAGAACCGCAAAGAAACCATAAAACGAACCCAAGCCAGGCGTGCATTCTTTGCCACTGAATGAATGAACGTAGCGTGACATTACAACCATTTTGATCATCCACGATGAACTCCTCTGGAAGCTTCAACCTGAATGAATGAACCTGAATGAACCTAAATAAAAGGAAAAATCTTATTTATTTAATTAATTTCAATGAAAATAGAAAAACGCAAAGAAGCCGACCGGTCGGCAAAGAAAAAACCTCAAAGAAAGGTATCTATATAGGATTTATGCTCTATATAACTCTATATAACTCTATATAACTCTATATAACTCTATATAACTCTATATAACTCTATATAACTCTATATAACTCTATATAACTCTATATAACTCTATATAACTCTATATAACTCTATATAACTCTATATAACTCTATATAACTCTATATAACTCTATATAACTCTATATAACTCTATATAACTCTATATAACTCTATATAACTCTATATAACTCTATATAACTCTATATAACTCTATATAACTCTATATAACTCTATATAACTCTATATAACTCTATATAACTCTATATAACTCTATATAACTCTAAATAACCATGCATACTACCACATTCAATCAATAAAAATCCCACTAAAACCAGGAACCACCGCGTACCTGCTGAATGTATGATGTGAAACAAAACAAAAAAAAACACAAAACAAAAATCACACCACCAAGTAGAGTAAAAGAATAGGAGTCCCTAACCTACCTATGTAACTAAATTACCTTATGCCCTAGCCTACCTATATAATAAATTAATTTTTACCTCACCTACCTATGCTTCATTAACTTAACTCAAGACTCATGAAGAAAGAGAAAAAGGAGTAAAACAGAACATAAAATACTACCACACAAACAAACATGATGTATGTATGTATGTATGAGCAACCGCTAAAGAACCCACTTAAAATATAAAAAAATACAACATACAAACACACAAACCACAGACATGCAAACTCTATATAACTCTTTATAAAATAAAATTAAATAAAAATAAATAAATTAAAAAAATATAAATATAAAAAAATGAGATCAGGCACTCCGACTCGAGCGAGGCAGAAATGCCTGATCTGATTTCACCGTTTTTTCAGCTCCTATTTATACTCGTTTCAACCATACATTTTCATCATTTCAATCATTCACATCAATAAAAAACTTATTTAATGTATGTACTACACTATTATACAGTCTTAACCAAAATGCTAACCGTACTAAATTGAAGTCATCGAACGAACGCCTTCGAAACTTTCTGGTTGGCTGGTTGAATCTGCTATATTGCTTTTCATATAAACATAATCTAATATAATATAATTTAATTATTTGTATACATGGATTCAAGTTACTTTATATATATATATATATAGTAAAAATTCATTATAAAAGCAACAGTAATCAGTGCTATATATGTCAGCACGCAGCTCAAATTTTTCGGGGAGAATTCAAAATTGTTTGAGACCACACCTTGCTTAACATCCAATTCCAAGCCGAGCCAAGCCAAGCTGAGCCAATATGCATAAATTCATTATAAAAAACAACAGTAGCCATTACTATATATGTACGCACGCAGTTCAAATTTTTCGGGGAGAATTCAAAATAGTTTAAGACCACACCTTGCTTAACATCCGATTCCAAGCCGAGCCAAGCCAAGCTGAGCCAATATGCATAGATTTATAAGCGCTTTTATATTAAAGTTTTGCTCGCTTTTTAAACGAATATCCCAATATAACAAATTCTCCATCCTATTTTAACTTTCTTTGATGCTTTTTAATCAGTCAGGTCACAAAAATCATTAGTGATATCGCAATGAAATCAATTTGAAATTTTTTTTTTAATTATTGATAAAATTTTTAAATTGTTGATAAAAATAACTAGTATATATAGTGTAGTAAAACGTTTAAAATTTTCTGAGAGAATTTAAAATAATTTGAGACTACACCATAACACAATTGTACAATTTGAATGTGTAAATACAACATTATAAATGTATTATAACTACGTATATATTTCTTTATTTAGTTCTGTCTGTGTATATTTTGTCAAATTTATTTGATAGGAATTGAATATAACCTTTATACCGGCTGATTAACTACCATGCAGTAAAATAACTACTGTTGACACCATTTCCTCCAACGATTTCGCAACGAATTGCCCATACCCTATAATTAGAATAAACTCTTCCAATCAATGTTTAAATTTTTATATCGTTTTTGTTTCTGTACTAATTTTCGTGTCAGATACAATAATTTAGTTTTTAAGCAAATTTTCATTTTCGTAGCACAAACATGCCTACCTGTTGCATTTAAAAATTGCATTAATAATAAATAGAAATGAGAAAATTTCTGATGCATCTTTTCACAGGTTTATTTTCAAATTAAATTTACACTAAAATAAATGTAACAATATCCCTATACTCATTGAATAGAACTATTTTGTTTTACAATTACATATATTTTATTTATAGACTATTATAATTTATTATTAAAATTAATCATGGATTACCATTTTATTATTAAAAGCAATACTTAAGAAATGCACAAGTTTCTGTAACAGTTTATAAAATTTCAGATTTCCTCAAAATGTAAAAATGCAAAACGATTGGATTAAGTGCATCAGACAGGAAATAAATGATTTCAAATGGCTTCCATCAAAAAATGCAAGAATATGCAGTGACCATTTCTGTAATAAAGATTATAAGGGTTATGATGGAGAAAGGAAGGTAATGCTGAAGAAAGCATTCCCATGTTTTCAAGTTAGTTATATTTATATGTCATCAGTTACACAAGGAAGCAATTCACATCATCATTGTACATTGCAACATTCTTATCTATACAAAAAATATAAAATGCATTCAACAATATTCTATGTATTTTATTAAAACTTAGAAAGGGCATAATGTGAATAATAAACCCTGCTTAGGACTGGGATCATCATCATCATACCAATTACCATTACAAGTAGAGTCAATTTTATATTAATGCTTAACAAGATTGGCATAATCAAGTTTTTATATGAAATACACATCAAGTATTTAATGTAACAAATAAATTAACAGAAAAATTTCTGAAAAAGTTTAAAAAAATTAGAACATATGACTCTGATCAAAAATCATTCGCGTTGACACTGCATTTGTATGGGCATAAGGCATATGATTATCTTTGGACAAATGGCTTTCATCTTCCTCACACTAGGACATTAAGAAAGTAATCTTGTCATACCTGTTCAATAATTTTAATAAGATTGTTTTAAATAACTATTCTCAATGTCATTTTATTAACACTACATTAAAAGGTGGCTACAAAACATTGATGGTATGCCTGGGGTGATTTCTACAAACCTTATTGACTAATGGTGATGGGGATCCTCTAGAACTGTAGGACCATGACATTCAATCTAGTCATGGATTGAGAAATCAATCCTTGATATATTTGATAATAAACATTTATTATAATATAAGAATGAAAAAAAGATGTAGATGTAAGGCAAAATCTTACTGGAACTATTATTTTTAGCAATTTATGATTTATTTTTTTATTTATGACTTTATCCATTTTCAATGATACCGATATTTTTAATTATTATTATCCAAATTATACTCATGCCTATATAAATTAATTTGATTGTGGCTATTTCTATGCTTAATTATTTTATTTACTTGCCATAGGTATGCACAGCATTTAATAAATTAATGATAATAATTAATCAATCAATCAATCTTCATTTTGCGTCCAGAGACCCGGTTTCCCTAGGTATTAATAATTAATAACACAACATTCTAAGTGCATAAAATATAATAAATTAAAAGTACAATTTTTACAAACCTCATTGGTTATGGTGATGGGGATTCTTTAAAACTGAATGATCATGATCTAACAAGCCATGGATTGATGAATCACTGGAATCACACATTATCTTTAATAAATTTAATAACAACATGTACTACAATTTAAGAATGAGGAATATTTTGTAAAACATTAAATGAAAAAAAATTTAGTTTGAATCACTCATAATTAATACATTTTAATTAAATTGCAAGTTAGCTTGGGGAGTTTGAAGCTTGAATTGAACAAATAACAAAAGTGTTTATTTTATAAAATTGATTGATAAGTTGTTTAATTTACTATATTTATTTAATTTAGTTAGTATATTTTTTATTCCCAGACCTAAGCATTGTAAATAAAAATTTTAAAACCAATCAAGCAATAGTATTTAGGATTTTAGGAACAAGTGCTGTTAGTCGTTAGCGTAGTAGTAGTATGTAGTAGTGTAGTGGTTGGTAGTTTCTAGTAGTCTAATCCGTTAATGTTCGTTAGTGCTATCTGTTATTTATTTCAATTAGTAATTAGAATCAGTAGAGTTTAGTTTTAGCTTAATTATTAGAGTTTAGTAATTTAATTACTAATTAGTCGTCGTTTAGTGTTGTTACAGTTAATTGTTAATGAGTTAAGTGATGTTGGTGGTTCACAAAAAATTTTTTTTATTTAAAATGCAAAAAGATACTTAACCGTCATACAGCAATATCTATCCTAAAACAGCATCTAGTATCACCTTTTAAAACATTTTGAAATTTTAAATAAAAGCAATATTCCGAAATTAAAAAAATTTACGATCGTAACTTTTGACTTGGGCGATAAAAAATCACCCTCCAATTTCCCTCCGGAAGTAAGCTCCTTGTTCGACCGTCAAAAATGAGCGAAGGCCGTTATATTTAGTCTAATTACATGATATATCCATGATTTAATTACAAAAATTAACACTTTTATTTTATAATTTTGCTAAATATTAAATTTTTTAAATTTGCTAAAAAAATTTTTAAAACATTGTTAAAATTATTTTTAAAAAGATTTAATTTAAATTTAGAAAATTGACAATAGTTATAAATTATTCTGTTATTTCGCACCAAAAACTCGAATTTACTTTTAAATATCAAACAAACAATGTATTAAAAGCATAGATGATTAAAAGCAAAGTTAATAAATTTAATTACAAAAATTTACACTTTTATTTTATAATTTGGTAAATATTAAATTTGCTAAATTTGCTAAAAAATTTTTTTAAAAATTGTTAAAATTATTTTTAAAATGATTTAATTTAAATTTAAAAAATTGACGATAGTTATAAATTTTCTGTTATTAAATAGCTCATCATTGCTGTTTTGTTGCTTGATAAACCAAAGATGTCGCTGAGTTGAAAAGTTGATGCTGCCGATCCTGGCGAACGAATGCTCTTCCTTAGTAAAAAAGATAAAAAAATTGAACAACAGAAATGTTGAAATCGCAAATTGTTTTTGTCGAATCTGTCAATTCAATTAACACCGAGTATTCCTAATTAATGGCTACTTTAACTTTCCCTTTTGCCTAATAAAAGTTCGCTCATCAGTTAATGTTATTCTATCTCTTTGCTTGTTAACTTTATTATATAAACAGCTTTTCCGGAAGCTGTTAGTGCTTTTAGTTCTTATGGAAAACAATCTAGTCGAAGGTTTACAGAATCTTCGAGTTTTGGCAGCGTATGACCTGGCCGTCATGGAAGACTTAGTGAAAGATTTTGCATCTGCTCTGGATGATCACAGCGCACCTGGCATCAGAAATAAATCAACTGCAGGTGAAGGTAATAAAATAATTTTTTATAATTTATATTTTCGAAAAATTAGACATTTATTTTTATAAGTTATTTATTACGTAAGATTAACATCAAAGGTTGACTATAAAATAAAATAATTCATCTATCTATAATCTATATTATTCCTATTGGAGATTTAATTATTCAGAATAAATTATTAAATAAACTTAAGTAAATGGTTAAATTTGTTGTAAATGATGATAATAAATAAATCTAATTTTAAATTAATAAAAAAAATTTTCTTTTTTAAGTACGAAAACGACGTAGGTACAAAAAACGTCGACCAACTGACCTCACAATGGCTCCCAACAACTACAGTGATACTGACAGCAGCCAGTTAGACGGGGCTAACATGCAAGATTCTACCAATAGTCATCACTTGCCTAAAAATTGGCAGAGTTGGAGCAAGCAGCAAAGTGATTCAGATGATATGAATAATAATATGTTTAGTGGCTACTTAGGGGCTAGGCCAAAGTGTTCTCTTTCCAGGTTATTGATTTTTTTTGGAAGGTATTTTGGCTTTTTAAACTTTTGATAAATATGAAATTAAATTGAGTAATTCAATTTCAATTCAATTTTTTCATCAATTTGTAATTATATTTCATTGTTCTTCTCAGGTATCCTGCAATCTCAGCCCCAGTTCTCGTTGAATCAGATTCAGTAACCGATTGCCTGTCACCAATTCGACTGCCGAGAAGAAGACGCCATCTTAAGAAATTACCAATCGTCATCGACAATGATCCCATTCTCGATCCCAACAACTATCGACACCAACTTGAAAATTTACCATCATCGATACGACCCTTGTCCAACTCACAACAAGGAGAGACATCTATGCCTTTTATCTCAACGACAAAGTTTAGGACCCAAAGTAGGGATGTGACTGTTGGATGCAGTCGGGGAATGATGTGTAGAAAACGTAAGAGATCAGTTAGGGAGTCGGGAACGAGTATGGTCTATGAGAGATGTGAGGGAGAAAAACGTTTCAATAGGTCAGTTAACTTACGGTTGGCATTGGTGTTGTGTTAAATAATAATTTTTATCATCATTTTCATCATCATCATTTTTTCATTTGGTTGTATGTTGAATGTGTGAACTAAACATTGATATGATAAAATGATTAAACAACAGAGCCTGTAGTTCTTGTAGCAACTCTAGCGATGACGATGATGAAGATAGCATTGATGATGGCAGAGAAGGTTGGTCTTCTTATCTATCTAATCGTTTGTGTCACCATTATTCTATTTCATCATCATTTTTACCACCATTACCATCATCATCATATCTTTATAAATGCAGGTGACGATGAACAAAGTGATTTCTGTTCAGACTCAGACAGCAAACATCACCAGCAGCAACTAAAACAACAACATTTTCAGCAGCAACAACAGCAAACAACAGCACACGATTCAATGGACTCAACTGACGCCACCACCGACGACCACCAGCGGCAGCATCATCGTCATCAGCAACAGCAGGCCATGCCTACTCAACTAACTCAGCTGTCAATCAAACAACAATACCCAACACACAGATATTACATTCCTGGTAAACGCCGTTTAACTACTACGGCAACCACTACTACTGCTACTGCCGCTGTTGCAGCTACTGCTACTACTACTACTACTACTACTACTACTACTACTACTACCAATACAGCTAACAACAATAACGTGATAACAGCTAATGATGATGATGATGATGATGATGGTTCCACTCATCCATTATCACTAGCATCACCGTCATCATCATTATCATTTACAACACCAGATTCCTATCCACATGACTTTAGCATCAATAACATTAATAATAAAGACAACAACAATAATAATAATAATAATAGCAATAACATCAACAACAATAACGGTTACCATCATCATCACCATCATCATCATCATCATCATCATCATAATCATAATCATCTCAGTCACATGATATCTGAGACAAGCTGCTCAAATGCTGTAAAATCATCGTCACCCATGTCAAGTCCACTATTATATATTCGTAATAATAATAATAATAATAATTACTATAATAATATTAATTTCAATGGTCATAAGAGGTGTAAGGTGTTTGATGCTCTACTCGATGCTGATAATGGTTGGCTGTTTGTTTGTTTGTCTGTTTGTTTGTTTGTTTGTTTGTTTGATTGTTGGTTTGTTCGTTTATTTGTATAAAAATTATCGTTAATGTTATTGAAATAACCATATGACATCAACAGATATGGACACAGACTTAACAACAACGACGACAACAACAACAAAAATGGCTGCAGCTACAACTAACACTATATCAACTATTTATGCAGATGCAAGAAGGCAGCTGAATAAATTTAACAGAAGGAATGTTAACTGACGAACGAACGAATGAATGAATTAATGGATGGAGGGGTGGACAAATGAATGAATGGATGGATTGACAAATGAATAAATGGATGGATTGATTAATTAATGAACGAGATTTTACTAAATGATTTTAGAATAAAAAATGTATAGTGTGAACATTGCATGTATTTAACTTGTAATGCGTAAATCTCATGTGATTAATGGATGAATGAACGAATGGATGAGCGGATAAATTAGGGAATAGATGGATGGATAGATTAATGAATGAATGAATGAATGAAAAACGAATGAATAAACCGTTAAAGTCAAGTGAACAACTGAATGTATTGAATTAGTTAACATGAAAGTAGATTGTGAGTTAAATAGACCTGACTCATTATATATTGCGATAGTCCTTACTGTACAATATTATTTTATAATAAATTATATATATTTATGCGTGTGTGCGTGCGTACGTGAGTCTGTGTGTGTTGGTGTTGTCAGTCAGTATTATAGCATTATAGTATAATCTAATGTTATTTCTAGAATGATTTGCTCCAATTCTTCATTTTGACAATATTTCTGGTTTGGTCATGAACGAAAATTTTATTTTCAACACAAAATTAGAAGAGTCTCACCCGTAGGATTTGTGGTTGTACTTAATAAGCAGTAGTATGCCAACATAAAAAAATAAAAAAGTATTAAAACATATATACAGGGAATAAATCTACCTAAAATACTAATTTATAAACAGCTTAACATCTCAAGATCAAAGTCCTTTAAGCAGTTTTAATTTGAATTAATATGATCTATACCTTAATTAGCCCTTTTCGTTTTAACTATCCATCCACTTTTAAACAAAATACCTGTTTACCTGTAGTACTATTTAAAACACGCCTGAATGACGGTGTCAATATGTAGGTATATATATATATATTCATATATATATATATATACACTATGTAACATAATGCATGTTATATTTAGCATGCAAATAAGAACATACATAATACATGTAACATGTGTGTGTATGTATATAAATGTATGTATAAATTTATGTTATATATGCACACACACATGTGTACATATATGTATATATTTATAAAAATCATCTGTAATGTGTGACTTAATGCTAGTATTAGTCAGTAAAAAAGAATAAATGTGTGGTTGCTGATAATTTATTGGTGATTACGGAAAATTAAGATGGTGATGCCCTTGTGTGTGTGTATGTTGTTTTCAATTCAATTCTATCTAGAGGTTAGTTTTCACTAATTCATTAATTTATTAATAATTCATTAATTCGTATGTTCGTTCATCCATTCGTTCGTTAGTTTATTCAATGGTTCGTTGGTTTGTTTGTTCATTCAATCGTTCGTTAGTTCATTCGTCAATCCATATTTTTAACAAAATGCAGGTATCTGTCCGGAGTTTTAGGAAATAACGGAATAACATGGATGACAGACTTAACAACAACAACATCAATAATACTAATATTAACAATAATAATAATAATGACGTAACCAATGACATCAACAACAATGTCAATAGTGACGATAATAATAACAATTGCATCAATATGGAAGTCACTAACAACAACAACAATACCAGCAACAACATAAAACGAACCAAACCTCCTGTACCATTTAAGTCACCAACCGCAAGACATACTGTCATGCTTATCAGACGATCAACCAACAACAACCATAATAATAATAACATTAATAATAACATCAATGATAATAATAACAACAACATTAATAATAATAATAATGACCAAGATAACATCAATGACAAAGCTAACAAAGAGACCGCTGATCGTGCTGATGGTGATGACAATAACAACAATGGCGATGACATTAACAATGACATCACTAATGATGACCACGTTGGACAACAAGAACAACATATTAATGTTATTCCGGATCTTATTTCTGAAGCTATTAGACTTAACAACAGTGACAACAGTAGCAGCAACAACAACACTAACAATAACAACAATAACACTAACAACAGCAACAACAATAATAATAATAATAACGACAACAACAACAATAACAACAATGACGTTGATGACGAGGGTGATGGCGCTGTTGACAACATCTTAGCGAGAAGAGATATACTAAGAGGGCACTCTAGTACGAACGAATGAATGAACGAATGAAAGAACGAACGAACGAATGAATGAATGAATAAAAGAACGAACGAATGAATGAATAAAAGAACGAACAAATGAATGATTGAACGAACGAATGAGTTAAAAAAAAGCAATAATTAGATTGATTGTTCGTGAATGAAAGAATGAATGAATAAATGAGTGAATAAATGAATGAAAAGAATGACTAAACGAGTTAATTAAATGAACAAACGAAGTAAAAAATGAATGAATGAACAATCGAGTAATGTTATATAATTGTTCCTGGTTTGTAATTAGGTTATCCGAATCCAGACAATGATGGATGGATGGATGGATGGATGGACAAATAAATGAAAGAACGAACGAATGAATGAATGAATAAATACACGAATGATCGACAAATAAATAAATGAACGTGTGAACGAATTAACGAAATTATGAAGGAATGAATAATGTTATAATTTATTCGTTCACTCATACATAGTTAGATTATCCAAATCAAGGCGAGTGCCCCACCCATCAAACCTTCCATCCATCCATCCTAGTAACGATCATCATCATCACCACCACTACCACAATCAACAACAACAACAATCGCAACAACAACATCATCAACAACAACATCAACAACAACATCAACAACAGCATCAACAACAACATCAACAACAGCATCAACTTAATGGACAACACTTTCAAGATTATTTACCTAAAGGTCAAACAATGATGACAATGACGCAATTATGATGATGATGATGGTAATAATAATAATAAGAATAATAATAATAACATAATCATATCAAGGTTGGGAGAGTCGAATGGACATCCATGGCCGAATATTCTACATTGACCACAACAATAAGGTCACGACCTGGAAAAAACCAGGTCAGGCTGTGATGATAATGATACTGGAGACGAAGATGATGACGATGATGATTGTGATGATGATGATGATAATAGCTGCTACTACTACAACAACAACAACTACAACTATTACTACTACTATTACTTATAATTATAATAATACTTTTAATAATAATTATAAATATAATTACTATTTCAAGTTTCAAGTTCATCCGTACGTAGAGTTAACAATATGGCGATCACAGAAGAAGATAGGAGAAATATGGACAGGAGGTTATGATAATGATGACGACGACGGTGATGATGATGAAGATAATGATACTATTACTACTACAACTACTACTACTATTTTTTCTAATTATAATAATGTCGACGATGATGATGATGATGATATCAATCAAACAGATATCAAAGTATCAGGAGATCTGTGCGTCCAAACATTCTAGCAACAACAACCACAACAACATTAACATCATCAGCAGCAACAACAACAACATTAACATCATCATCATCAACAACAACAACATTAATATCATCATCAACAACAACAACATCATCAGCAGCAACAACAACAACAACAACATCATCTTCGTCATCGTCATCCTTCGATATTAGTGAAAACATCACAAATATTTTCAATATCATCAACAGTTACAATGACAACAGCAACAACATCAGCAGCAGTAACAACAACAGCAGCAACAACAACAGCAGCAACAACAACATCAACAACAGCAACAACAACAACCTCGAGTACGTTGATGAATGTGGCGACGTCTTATTGCCTGGAGCTATCTTCTTATGCAGGCAAGCATTCTTTAAGCAAACTATTTTATTATTGAAAAATAATAAATAATAACAGAAAATAATTATAATTAATATAATTAATAATAATTAATAATAATTAATAACTATAATTACTATAATTAATAATAAATATTAATAATAATTATTATTATTCCTCCAATTGTAGGCCAGATTTCTACTCTCTTGTTATGAACAATTCAGTAAGTTTATTATAAATTATGGTATAATAATAGCGATATAAAAAAGATTATGTATATTGTAATAATTAATAATCCTGACCTAATTATTAGAGAGACCGACCTCGAACTGACCTATTTGATTTTAACTGACCAATGACGTTGATTGGGATTAGGTTGCCCAGGATTTGCTGAACGAGAACGGCCAACTGAAGCACATCTTGAATGCCATTAGAAGGGACAGATCTTCATTTAAAAAGTTCACTTTTAATCAGTTTCATTCATTTATAAATTTTTCTATTTATTCATTCATTCATTCATTCATTCATTCATTCATTCATTCATTTGTTCGTTCGTTCAATCAATCAATAATTCGTTTATTAGATAATTGACTAATTCAGTATGCCTGGTTTTCTTTCTTGCTTTCATTCACACTTTCGTCCATTCATCCATCCATTCAGTTATTCAATCATTCATTAAACCAATCATTACCAACCGACCAATCAGATATCAGCACCGCAAAGACCTCGTATCATTGGTCAATAAATTCTCAGACCCCTCCAAACAATTTCCGCCAATGTGGCAAATGAGAATGGATAACAAATCAAATAAGGTTTCATATTGGATGCTCCACTTTTTAGCCCTACACTATGTAATTTTATGCTAAGAACTGAACTATAGTACACCACAAAAGTTTCGTGTTGACGTGTTAATACGAGCATCACATACTCAATCAACTAACACTACTATTTTTCATTTAACAATAATAATAATAATATAAATAAGAATAATAATAGTAAGTCACTGACCACTTCCACCAGCCATTCTTTATTCACCATGGGCTGAAACTGACCACGTACATTGACCCGCGGCTTCCCCTTTTACCTCAAGCCCACGCAGATGTCCTTGGGTTAAGGTCAATCATTAATTAAATAATTAATTAATTAATTTGTTTGTTTGTTTGTTCGTTCGTTCGTTTATACTTCCGTATTTTCGATTATTATTCAATCATTTAACCACTCGATAATCTTGATCGTTAGTCAATTAAGTTATCAATTAATTAATTATCAATTAATTAATCTATTTATTAATTATTTTATTAATTAACCAACCGACCAATCAGATCGTCTGTGTTATCGTCATCATCATTGTCATCATCGTCACTATTATCTAGTACTTTAACGGTTGGTTGGCATATATTTTGACCAAGCAACTTGTAATTTGATTGGTTGATTTTAAATTTGATTTGTTGGTTGAGTTGTCTATGATTTGTTTGCTTAATTGATCTTTTATTTAATTGGTTGGATAAGTTGTCTATAATTTGATTGGTTGATTAACTGATATAATTGATTGGTTGATCTTTAATTTGATTGGACGACTATCAAAAGGTAATTTTTTTCGTTTTCAAATTTTGTTTTAAATTTAACAGGCTAGCAACAACAATGCTGTTCATAATACTAATTTAGGTTGGTCCATTCATTCATTCATTCATTCATTCATTCATTCATTCATTCATTCATTCATTCATTCATTCATTCATTCATTCATTCATTCATTCATTTATTCATTCATTCATTCATTCATTCATCCATCAATCTATCCATTCGTCAGTTAATTTTAACATGCATTTATCAATTAATCACAATAATAATACTTATTAATTATAATTATATTTAAGAATCCTTATAAATTATATTTAGAAATAATAATAATAATAATGAATAAATTAATTAATTAATAATTTATAGATTACAACGAGAGGGTAGTTCTGTTTTTGAGGCAGAGGAGTGTCTTGGATATCCTGAAATCGAAATATCCCGCCATTCTATCCAGTATATCCCTCAAGAATAAAGTCAATCTCATCAGGTCAATTGTAACGGACGAATGGATGAAAAAAATGAATGGATGTTGGAATGAATGGATGAGTGAATAAATGAATGAATGAATAGATGGATGGATGGATAAATGAACGAATGGGTGGATGGATGAATAAATCAATCAATCAATGAACTAATGAGGGAACGAATAAATGAATGAAAGAGTGTACGATTGAATGGTTGAATAAATGGATGAATGAATGGATGAATTAATGAATTAATAAAAGAAAACTGAATAAAGAAATAAATTAACAACAAATATTTTCCTCTAGATCAGAGGGATTAGCAGCAATAAACAGGCTGAAGAACGATCTTGAACTTACCATGATGTTAAGGTTATCACCATTACCATCATCATCATTAGCCCATCATCATCATCATCATCAATACCCCATCGTCGTTGTCATCATCATCATTACCCCATCGTCATCATCATCATCGTCATCCTTATCATCACCAGTGCTGTGCAGAATCCTATTTTTTAAAAATTCAAATGACCAATTTGGAAGATGGCGGTTCACCATTATCATCACTATCTTAACATCACCACCGTTATTATTATTATTATTGCTATCATCATCATCATCATCATGCGTGACATCATCATGATGTCATCCAAATACGACAGCGTTTTCGAGGAGGAGATAATGTCCTATGTACCTGACAGTTCAGAAAACAACGAAAATTATGATAACAATAATCCTGCTATTCCATTCGGTTGGTTGGTTGGTAGATTGGTTGGTTGATTTGTTGGTTGATTGGTTGGTTAGTTTGGTGATTGATTTGTTGGTTGATTGATTGGTCGGTTATTTGATTGGTTTGTTGACTGATTGATTAGTTTGTTGATTGAATTGTTGGCTGATTGATTGATTGGTTGGTCTGTTTCAAGTCTGGTCATTTTATCAGTAATCATCATTGCCATCCTCTTCAATATCATCATCACTACTTTTTTCATCATCATTATCATGATCATTCTCACCATCACCAACATCATCACCAGGATCATCACCGGCCGTTGCCCACCACAGAAATGCTTCTAGAAAGCGAAACTTAGAAGTGAAACTCGCGGAATTTTATAACAAACTCGAAGCTAAAGGCTATTCTAAAGGGCCAGTTAAATACAGGTTTTTGCTTGGAAAAACCCATTTCTAATTATAGAATAACTTATTTAAATATCATCATTATCATCAAAACGTCATCATCACCATCTTCGTCATCACCATCACCGCATTATTATCATCATCATTATCATCATTTTTTATGATTGTCATCGGCATCACTTATAATCTTTATAGCTTTCATCACCGTAATCATCATCATCACCATCAACGTCATACTTACTATTATTCCAATACGATGCTTAACGAAACGTGACGAAACAAAACGAGACAGATTGATAGTACGCAGAGATCACATATTGGAGGATGCATTCGTGAAAGTAATGAGCCTAACGAAGAAGGAGCTCATCAAATCGAAACTCGCCATCGCCTTCAAAGGAGAAGACGGGTTCGTTATTCGTCTTGTTATAAGTCTCGTTATTTGTTATTATTATTATTGATGTTGACCGTCTTCGTCGTCGTCATCACCAGACTAGATTACGGGGGCCCATCCAGAGAGTTTTTTTTCTTGTTATCTCGGGAGCTGTTCAACCCTTACTACGGCCTGTTTGCATACTCCGCAAATGATACGTACACTGTCCAGGTCAGCCCGTCGTCCAATCAGATTGAAAATAACCTGCAGTGGTGAGCCCCTATTAGCTAGGCTTTGTTTATACGTTCGCGTGGCCTAGCTGTGATTGGCTGGTTTTGTTTGTTAAGTTATGCTAATTGGATAATTACTATTTAGATTAATTGTGATTGGTTGGCCTTTGTTAGTTTATTTATTTACATATTTATTTATTTATGTGAGAAGGATAATTAATATTTAAATTAATTGTGATTGGTTGGACTGATGAATTAATGTATATTTTAATTAGCCGTGATTGGTTGGGCCTCGCTAGTTTATGCAGTTTATAAATTTTAATCAACTTGGTTGGCTGGTTCGGATGGGTCCTATGTTGATTTGAATGGTCCTTAAAAAATATCTTATAATTTCCATCTTGTTGCTATAATAATAATTATTATGATGATAATAATAATTATGAATATAATTGTAATAATAATTATTATTTATAGTTATTACTTTTGATGATAGGTTCAGATTTGCTGGGCGGATGATTGCACTGGCACTCGTTCACCAGTACCTCTTGGATGTGTTTTTCACAAGAGTCTTCTACAAGCAACTGCTACATATGTTGGTTGTTGCTGGTTGAGACGATAATGACGTTGATGTTGCGACGATGCTGAGAATCGTGTTGTATAATCACACACACACACACACACACAAACACGCACACGCACACAACCACACACAAAACAGAAAACCGCACCTGAATGACCTCGAATCTCTGGACATGGAATTCTACAGGAGTCTCACCTGGATCCAGGACGAAGCCAAACAAGATGACCTCGAAGCCATGGCTTTGACCTTTAGCGTGACAGAGGAGGAAGACGAGAACAACAACAACAACGACAACGACGACGACGACGATCCTGATAACAATAGCGAAAGAAATAAAAACAAAAATAGTAATTATTATAGCCACAATAATAACGGAAACAATAATGGAAGATTATTTTCGTGGCTGGGCGGGCAGTGGAAAAAAATGAGAAACGCTCTCTCCATAGGGGATAGTTTATCTGAAAATGAAGACACAGTAAACATCAGTAGTAGTAATCTTGATAGTACCGATAGCAATAACAACCTTAACGTCACTGCTACTACTATAATCAATACTACTTCTAGTAGTAGTGGCGGTAGTAGTAGCATTAGTAGCGGCAGTAGTAGTGTTAGTTTTATTAGTAAAAGTGCCGAGAACGTCAGCAGTATTAGAAGTAATAGTAATGAAACTATTGTTTATAGTAGTAGTGGTAGTAGTAGTGGTAGTAGTAGTAGTAGTTGCAAAAGTAGTGGTAGCAGTAGTAGTGTTGTAAATAATAATACTTTTAATAGTGATAATAATATATCTAATGCAACATCTAAAACATTCACGCCACCACCATCATCATCACCACCACCACTATCACCATCATCATCAACAACAACAACATCGTCAACAACAACAACAAAACACACACGCATAAACAACGACGATTATGAAGTTGGCGAATCATCATCAAGCTCTCAATGTATCATTAACAACTATAATGATGCTGACGACGAAAATGATGGAAGTCATAGTCATGGTGGCGATGCAATCACTACTACTACCACTACAACTATTACTACTACTTCTGCTGCTGCTACTACAGCTGCTACTACTAATAAAAGATCATCAATCGAAAAATCGCCTTTGCAAAACCTTACAGACATTGCAACTAATGATAACAACAACAACAACAACAATAATACTAATAATAACAGCAACAAACAGAATCAAAACATAAACAACGGCGACGATGATGATAATGATAGCTTTCCTGCAAACCCATCATCATCATCATCCAAGATAAGAGTGATTGAGCGAGACTTAAAACAAAATGGCCGACACATCAGAGTGACTGAGAGAAATAAAAAAGAGTACATCGAAAGAATGGTGGATTGGAGAATTAAGAGGGGAACCCAAAAGCAGATGAAAGTTCTCGTGCAAGGTTTTAATGAGGTTCGTTCGCTGATTGGTTGGTTGATTAATTGGCTGATTGGTTGGCTGATTGGTTGGTTAATTGGCTGATTGATTGGCTGATTGGTTCAATGGTTGGATTGTTGATTGAATGAATTAGAGATAGGCCGATCGATAAAAAAATTATGTGATTAATTAGTCAAGGAAATTGAAAAATATATTAGATTGATCAACACTCAAATCACTAGTCCGTGTACAAATACAAATGATCGATTATCAAACCATCCAACCAATCAATCAAATCTACTAATCAATCAATCAATCAATCAATCAATCAATCAATCAATCAATCAATCAATCAATCAATCAATCAAACAATCAATCAACCAATCAACCAGATATTAGACCCGCGCCTGGTTTCAAAGTTCGACGCTAATGAATTGGAACTTGTAATAGCAGGCTCTGTTGATATCGATATAGAAGACTGGCACGATAATACAGTATACCGGTCAGGCTATTCCGAATCACATCAGGTATTTCTGTGTTTGTATCTGTGTATCTTTATGTTTGCATCTTTGTGTTTGTATCTTCGTGTTTGCAAATTCGTGTTTGTATTTTCGTGTTTGTATCTTCGTGTTTGTATCTCGTTGTATCTCGTTTGTATCTCCTACATATTGTTTGGTTTGTTTGTAGATATCTTGGTTTCTATGCTATAAGTGTATGTATCTTTGTTAACGTGATTTATGGTTATCATTAAAAAATTGATGGTGTAATCTTTCATTCATTCATTCATTTTTTTCATTCACTCATTTATTTATTCGATCATTCTTTTATTCACTTATTCACTCCTTCACTCCTTCAATCACACATTCATTAATTAAAACCAACCAGGTGATAATGTGGTTCTGGAAAGTTGTATCCAACTACAACAATGACCAACGGTTGAGATTGCTGCAATTTGTTACGGGGACATCGAGTATCCCGGTCGAGGGATTTGCCGCACTTAGGGGGAGTACAGGGCCAAAAAAATTCTGCATCGAAAAGTGGGGAAAGGTTACTGACTTGCCGAGGTTTGTTTAGTTGCTTGCTAATTGATTCACTGTCAGAGAGAAGTAGAATTTTAAAAATTGGTCTCACATCTAAATATATATAACCATTTATCTTCTATTCATCTCTTTTCCTCTTCATTCATCCATTTAATCTATTTTTATCCATCCATTTTTATCCATCCATCCATTTCGTCAGGGCCCACACTTGTTTCAATCGTCTAGACCTGCCACCCTACACTTCTTTCGAAATTCTTCTCGAAAAGTTGAGCATCGCCGTCCAAGAAACAGCCACTTTCGGCATTGAATAATTATCGAAATTATGATTAATTATGACTATAATATTAATAATTAATCATTTTATATCTATATTTATATGAAATAATATGTGTGTGTGTTGCTTTACATATTTCTGATATGTTTCATTATTACTGTCTGTTACAGAGGTGAGCAAGAATTGAAATTCCTATTCACTCAAATTTTTTTTCTCATTCCCAATTTCTTCCCGAATTCCCATTTATGACAACGTTCCCGAAAATTCCCATTCTCTATTTTTTTAAGTCATTCCCGTGTTTTCCCTCCCGAGTTATATAAAGTTGTATAGAGTTATATAGAGTTATGTAGGGTTATATAAAGTTGTATAGAGTTATATACATGTATAGTTATATAGAATTATATAGAGTTGTATATGGTTATATAGAGAGCCTTGGGATTCCCGTTCCTATGCTCACCTCTTGTCTTGAGATCCGCTCTGAATATCGTAAGTGATTGAGAAGTAGTCAGAGAAGGAGGTAGAGAGTTCCAGAAAAAAGGGTCAAAAAAGCAAATGCAGATTTAGCAAAAGAGTGTTTAACACAAGTTAACAAGAAGTGAGAACAAGAAAACGATCGTAAACCGGCACGTTTTGATTTGGTTAAAATATCTGATAAATACTTAGGAAAGGATTTAGATTTAGACTTATACCTAAAGTAAAAATTTGAAAAATTATTCTATACTTTATAAGTAGCCAGTGCAAGAGAACAAGATATGGAAATATATGAAAAAAAGTATGTTTTACCAATTTCCATAAGAATCCCATGGGAATCCCATAAAAACCATAGGATTCCCGTTCCCCTGCTCACCTCTAGTCTGTTATACATGATCATAGTCCGAGTTTTTCGTTGTAAGTTTATTGTTATTATGTTTTATTTAATTTTTTTCAAGTTCATAATTTAAATGATGCATCTCTCTGATCTTAAATTGCGTCTGATGACTTCTGTGCTATCAATTGAAAAATAAATATCCATTTATGAATGTGCGTATGTACACGGCGGGTACAGAATAGATGAGAGTAATAATATTTGATATGAGACTATATGAGTTTTTAAGTACTACTTATCACATGTTACACACGCTTTCTCTTTTACACCCACCACACACACATACACACACAATATTGTTATACGTGTTAATTCTTGCCTTAGTAAATGTACAACGTTAATAAAGCAGAGAATTTGTGATTGTACTAATCTTCAAAAACTATCAGTGATGTTTAAAATTATTTTCTTGTTCAATTTAAATAATCAAATTCGTGGCTAAAAATGATTTTAAAATTCAGATAAAAACTAAGATTAATATTTTTGTAACGAACTTCTCATCCTATTCTAATATTTTTGATGTCATTGTTCAAAAAAATGATCATTTTAATTTACCAAAAAAAAACAATTTTGTTGCGTTATTAATTTAAAAAGTCATTAGCAAATAATTTAAAAACTTTTTAAATTATTAACATAACAAAAATTTTCTACACAGGTTCTGCATGCCAGAAAGAATCGTTTTCAAACTAGCTCTCCTAGATTGTCCCGCTGGTGAGGCTCCAACTAACTTGAAGCAACTACAATTAGTTTCAAAAATTGCAAATCAGAGTCGACTGATGGTGACCTTGGGCTTTCTAAATTCAATTCGGAAGAGAAAATTTTCTGTTTTATCTGCAAAAATCTGGAACTTACTAGCTGTAGATTTGAAAAAATTCAACAACACGAGCAGACATGTTTTCAAGAAACGTTTTAAACAACAGTCGTTTTCACATTCTCGTGTGAAGCTAGAGCTTCTGAAGCTATTCAAAAGGACTCCACAAACTTTTTGATACAGATTTCTATATATTAATTTATATTCCTAGTTATTCATTCAAGTTAAAATAATTCTTTCTGGCATGCAGAGCCACTGTAGATCATCCCTGCCTATGTATGATGAAATTGAATCGAAGAATTTCTAATAACCAGCAGCAACAAGTCTCGCTGTTGTGTTCAGAACAGACTGCAAATAATCAGGAAGGGATAAGTTAACACCAGACATAATTGCATTGTAGTAGTCAATCCCAATTCTTCTTTAGATAAAACTACAAACGAGTGCTCTTGCTGACTCAACAGTCAAAAAACGTCTGGTTGATCTTATTCTGTGCAGTTGGTAGAAACATATCGCCGGCAGAGTTGACTAACATGTTTATATATATAAGAATCGCCATCAGTGCCGCCATGTTTTTGTAGAATCGTAATCCCCACCGTATAGTTAAGTGTTTAAATGAAGTAGCTAAAAAATTTTCTTGCTGTGTTTTTATTAGTTAGGTCACAATCATCATCATCATCGATAACGCAATGAAATTAAGTTAAAAAATTTTTTAAATGTCAAGGCCGGTCCTTCCTGCGATATGTTGGTAGATCACACGATCATCATGTACGTGCTTATGTATCTGTGTATGTTTGTATCAGTGTATGTTTGCATGTATGTGCGTGTGAGTGTAAGTAATGTAAGTAGGTGTAAGAAAACGAGTTCACCCGGAAACCACTACATATCTTACGTTACACACAACCCAAAAACACAACTTTTCTCTTTTCTCTCTCTCTCTCTCTCTCTTTCTCTCTCTCACACACACCTTAAAATGTTGAAATGTTTTAAAACTTTACTAATAACTGCAATGTTTTTGACTCAATTAACAAATTGCAATGTTTTGTAGTAATTATAAAAATTGTAATTTACAACAGTGTATACGCCCGTAACGTACGAACTAACAGGATTAATTAGGCATCGCTAATGCTCACAAACTGGATCTAAATGCGTTATTTGTACTAAATTGCGTCAGTTTTTCTCTTTTATTACACTTCATACAAAAAGTTTCGTGATAATCTTTGACTGAAAATAGTTGAAATAAACACAGATTATCAGAAAAATGTGTGCACGGATGCGTACTGTATGTCATGAGCTTACACATGTTTCAATATTTTAACGTTAAGTTTAGCGCTTAAAAATTAATTGATTAAAGGTACTTCAAACTTAAGTTAATTTTTAGTTGCAGTTTAAATTCCAGGATAATAAACAACTCCAAAAGTCTAATATTTTGTGGCCGATTTGGTTCCTAATTCTGGTCGGCAGACGATATTTGCCAGTTAGAAAGAAATGGCTGCCTATAATAAAGTAACTCAATTTAATTTTATTCGAATTGATTAATTTTTAAAAGTTCAGAACCAAACAAAATTTTAGATTCAAAACTAAGTTAGGTGTTGAAGTTTAAGAAGGTTGAACTAACCAGCCAACGCACCACAGAACGTACCAGTTCACTAAACTATAACTAACAACCAATCACAGGTTGTTTCTGATCTCCATGCATCTTTTGCAACAGGGAAAACCAAAACAAAAGAATGGCGAATGGCTCAGTTGTTGGCCCTTTTGAATTTCATCGAGAAGGAAAGTGATGGCATTGCAGAAGCACTAGCTAAAGATCTATCCAAAGTCTATAGATGGAGAAATAATTTTTTCAATTTTTTAAAATTAAAATTTATTTTTTGGTGATTCTTTTGATTTAAAAACTTAAAGATGGGTTAGAACTAGAATTCGAACTTATAAAAAAATGATTAAATAAATAATTATTTTGAAATTTTTAATAACTTAAAAAACCAGTTTTAAAATTTCTATTTGAAATATTTTTTCTCCAAATCTAAGCTTTCTAAATCTAAACCATATTAACATAATTTATTCAAATAGCTACATTTAAAAATGTCAGCCATTTTTAGAGTCAATCGTGTTTGAGTGTGATACAGTTAGGAATGAAATAGTTGAAGCCCTCGATAAGCTAGATGAGTGGATGGGGAAAAAAAAGGTTATTTGTTGTAGTACTACTACTTTTATTGCAGTTATTATTATTTTTATTTGAAAAATTCTCATTTTTTTAGGCCGAGAAAAACCTCCTGACTTTACTCGACAGTGCATTTGTAATGTCAGAGCCACTGGGGGTTGTGCTAATTATAGGAGCCTGGAATTACCCATTCCAACTCACCCTGGGACCTCTAGTTGGAGCTATTGCTGCTGGTAGGATGTTCTAATAGTTGTCATTATCTTAATTATTGAAATCCTAATCATCATCTTAATCGCGATCGTCATCATCATTGTCATGTATGTAACAGGCAATTGTGCTATTGTAAAGCCATCAGAGATCAGCATTAGTTCTTCTCAGTTTATGGAAAAGAAACTTCTAGAATATTTAGACCCAGTATGTTTAAGGGAATGAGTGAATGATTGAATGAATGAATTAATGAGCGAATGAATAAGGGAATGAATGAGGAAATGAATAAATGAATGAATAAATGAATGAGTGAGTGAGACTATTAATTGGTGAATTAAAGAACGGTGAATGAACAAACAAACTAACGAACTAACAAACCGGACAATTTAACAAACAAATAAACAACAATAAAACAACGAATAAATAACCACAAAAACATTTCACAAACTGACAAGACCCTCTCTACTCCCCAACCCGAAGGAATGCATTAAAATCATAACCGGCGGAGTTCCGGAAACGACGAGCCTACTGACGAACCGCTTCGACCACATTTTCTACACCGGGAGTACCGCAGTCGGAAAAATCATCTACAAGGCAGCTGCTGAACATTTGACACCCGTCACTCTCGAATTAGGCGGCAAAAGGTTAGGACATTGTAGTAGGGATTAATTAGGGGCCTCATAAATAGTTTGGGGCCTTATAAATAGCTTGGGGGCATCATAAACAGCTTGGGGGCATCATAAACAGTTTGGGGGCATCATAAATAGTTTGGGGGCCTTATTAATAGTTTGGGGTCCCATAAATATTTTGGGGGCTTTATAAATCGCGTAAAACGTACGCACACACATACATACAAACGTACACACACACACACAGTCCAGCAATTATAGATAACACGAGTGACCTTGCCATAGTGGCCAGGAGGATGATGTGGGGCAAGTTGTGCAACTCCGGCCAGACCTGCATATCGCCTGATTACGTTCTATGCACCAAAGAAAATTTGGTAATTATGATGGTGACGAAGAAGATGATGATGAAGATAGTGGTGATAATGATGATGACGAAGATGATGATGATGAAGATAGTGGTGATAATGATGATGACGAAGATGATGATGATGATGAAGATAGTGGTGATAATGATGATGACGAAGATGATGATGATGAAGATAGTGGTGATAATGATGATGACGATGGTGATGATGCAGGTGATGATGATGATGATGGTGGTGGTGGTGATTACAGAATTTCCTAATAGAAGAATGTAAGTCAGCTATATACGAATTCCACAATGGTGATAGCAAGAGGACCCCACATTTCAGCAGAATCATCAATAAGCATCACTTTCAGTGAGTGTGATGATGACGACGAAGATGATGATGATGACGAGGAGGAAGATGAATTCACCAATCAATCAGTCAATCGATCAACTATTCATTCATTTATTCTTCATTAATTTGACCAATTGAGCATTCAACCAGTTTATTTGTTTGTTTGTTCATTCATTCGTTCATTTATTTAGTCATTCGTTTATTCAGCCAGCCATTCAACCATTCAATCAGTAATTCAATCGATCATTCATTCATTCAATCATTCAGTCAATCATTCATCAAACCAACCAATCATTTCAGACGTCTGAAACAGATGCTAGACAAGACGGAAGGCACGGTCGCCTACGGAGGCACCATAGACGAAGACAGCCTCTACATCTCTCCTACGCTTCTCGTCAACGTCAAGGAAAGCGATTGCGTCATGCAGGAAGAGGTGGTGATAACGATGACGTCATTATAATATTATAATTTTGTATTATAATTTACGAATTCTCTCTTAAGATATTTGGTCCAATAATGCCTTTCTTGACTGTAAGCGATATGGATGAAGCCATTGAGTTTGTTAACAAGAGGTTTGGTTCTTCATTAATTCATTTGTTTTTTCATTCATTCATTCACTCATTCGTTCATTCATTCACTCATTTGTTAATTTTTTCATTCATTCACTCATTTAATTGTCAATTCTTTCATTATTTCTATTCCCTCACTCATTCCATTCATTCCATTCACTCATTCGTTAAATCTAGATAGTTCGTTCGTCAGAAAATTCATTCATTTATTCACACATTTATTGATTGATTGATTGATTGATTGATTGATTAACTCATTGATTCACTCACTTACTCATACATACATATATACATACATACAGACCAAAGCCCTTGGTTATCTACTTATTCACAAAGGACAATCAGCTGATCAAGCAGGTTTCCAGGGAAACACTCAGCGGTGCCATGGTGACCAATGACGTCTTCATGAACATGTCACGTGAGTTGTGGTGGTCACGTGATGGTAATTCTGTTTCGTAATTTCGTCACCAATATTCAAAATCGTCGTTCGTCTCCACCAACACAACCATCATCATCGTCATCATTATCAGTAACGTCCTTGCCATTTGGAGGCGTGGGGGATAGCGGGATAGGTTCGTCACACGGAATTTATGCTTTCCAAGTAAATTAGTGGATGGATGGATGGATGAATTTGTAGATAAATGAATGAAAGAATGAATATATGCATCCATTCATTCGTTCATTTATTCATTCATTCGATCTTTTATTGACTTTTTACTTGCTTCATCTGGTTGTATGATTAATCGTTACATTTAATTAACATCTGGTCAAACAAAATAATTCTGCTTCAGTTTTTTTCATTTATCTTTTTCATTCATTCATTCATTCACTGATCCAATTATTTGTCCATTCCATTCATTAACTCGTTCACTCATTCATGCATTCATTCATTCATTCATCTCAAGGCATTCTCCCATATGAGGGCGCATTTCGTGAAGAAACAAAACATGGAGTTTATGAACCAGTAAGTCGTAAATGGAGGAATGCATTAATGAATGAATGAAGGAATGAATGAATGGATGGAAAAATGAATCAATGAATGAACGAGTGAAGGGATGAATGAATAAAATGACGAATGAATAACTGGATGACTTAATGAATACGTGAGGGGAGGAATGAAAGGATGTACGAATGAACGAACCACAGATGAATGCACTTGACCATACCATAAATCCAAACAACCAACGCTAAAAAGCACTTGCATACATACATACACACAAACACACACACACGCACATGGAAACAAAAAACACATACATACACACACACATACATACAAACACACACATACACATGGAAACAAAAAACACACACATACACACACACGTACAAACCCAGATTCCGCTATCCGCCATACAATGACAAGAACCTGAAAATAATCCGATGGGCCCTGGAGAGGACACCGCACTGTCAGAGGAATCCAATCTTGCTCGCACTTCCCTACATTGCCCTAGCTATCTTGTTCGCCATCTTGTTCAAATTGGTCAGTTTAGTTTTTGCTCACGATCTCTATTTGTCTTTTTCTCTCTCTCACTCAAACACACACACTCTCTTTCTTTCTCTCTCTCTCTCACACACACACACACATATATATCACGTATTTCTACCACACACAGGCCAGCAAACACACATCCGTACATACAACCAAACACAATCATACACACATACAAACACAAACATACACACACAAACTTACAATTATCTAGTCGTTTAATCAATTTATGAAAATAAATATAGCCGTGATAATTTTTTTAATGTTTTGTTTTTCACTCACCCATAGCTGCACTCCTTGATTTTCTAAACCTCAAGAACTCTTGTGGACGACAACGGCATGTTATTAATTGTATAAAAATGATTAATTCAATCAATTCGATGGTTAATTAATTAATTAGCAACAACATTCTATTAATTGTATAGTAATTGAAATGCCTATTAAACAATTAGTTGAACTTTAAAAACGATGCACACATGGATCATCATACATAACATTACTTGATGTGTCAACTCATCTGTAGTAATATTAATACACGGTTTAACCATTAAATGGCTAATTAATTAATTAGCTAGATTAATATTGAAATGTTTGTTCAATTAAACGACCAACATTTTCCTGATTATTATTTGATTTCATTTTTCACACACTCACGCACACGTACTTATGTATACGCGCATATACACACACATGTGCATGCACATACAACTGTACACACACACATATCAGTACATCTTTAAAACATACATGAACAACTTAGCGTAACATTACCGCATAAGCAAACGCAAGATACATCATTGTAATGTTCGCTTGGCTCGTTGTGATATAGTTCTTCTTCGAGTTATAAATTTTTTTTAATGACAAAAAATTTCACATGATACAATAACATTATGTCCGCAGCGAGTATAACAGTGATGATAATTTTAGTTCAATTCGTGAAAAATCATTTTCTAAAGTCAATCATTATTTGAAGCGATGCTTCATTCAGATTTTTAATTTTTGGATTGAATGTTACGCATTACGGAAAGTACGTGATCTATATATTTATTTATAACATCAATTAACCCAATTACATAACAATAAAACACGCAATCGACCAAAGAAGCAACTCGGAGGAGTTACTCATTCCTCTTTTTGAAACGCGTACGTACAAATACGAAAAGTTGTGTAATTAATTAATTAATTAATTATTTAATTGGTTAGTTAATAACAACTAAATGTAAATTAGTATTGATCAGTCATGTTAATTAGTTGATGGACAACAACTGCCGATCTCTCTCCGCAACTAGCCACGCATGGTTGCAAATTAAACTTCAAGTGACCTAGTTTCATAATGAGCTGGACATTTCACTTGACCCTGTAAAGCATTTTCCTTTGCATTCTGTGCTGCAGCTCCTCCCTTCTAAGCATCGATTGGATGACCTTTATCACGCTCCTCTCCGGGTAGTTCTGATTGGCGGAGAGTATATGAATAAATTAACATAAATTAACATCAGCGGTCAGTGGCTAGTTGAACAATTACTGCAAATTGAATTGATGAAGCTAAAAATAGCAACCTGTTTAACAAAGTCCTGGATGATGGCGTGCTCTGAGACCTGAGAACCGATGACGAATCTCTTCTTCAGCTGTTTCTCAATCCTATTCAGTAGTTCCTGGTCCTCTTCTGTTACGAAGCCTTCAACTCCTGAGACGTATATGACGATGTAATTATTTTTTATCAATCTTTTTCATCATCATCGCTATTACTTTCTTTATCATTGTAATTTGTTTGATATTATCATCTTAATCACAATTTTATTCGTTATCAACACCATCCATCCAAACAAACCAGACAGCCGTCCATTTTAATATATTAAATTTTTCTTTATCATCACTATTATTTTACTTATTACAATATCATTCATCATAATCGACGTTTTCATCATCACCACCAGCCAAACAGACAGACCAGACAGCTGTCCAGACATGGCAGCATCCAGGGTAGACACCTGGAAGAGTCTGAGGGCCTCGTTGACGTCTGTCTCGGTTACGAAAGAGGCCAACCTCATCTTGGCCAGTGACTCAGAGATTCGAATAATTGCCTCAAGTTGTCTGGAAAATCGACAATAATAAATTAATATTTATGAAAAAAAAATTGAAAAAAAGTGTTTAGTATTATTATACACTATTAGTACACACAACGCACACACACAAAACCACAGATACACACACACACACACACACACACAAACCGACCTAACAGTGATAGGTATGGTATTTTTGTGCCCTGTTTCTTTTTCGTAGTCCGACGCCCCGCTCCTCATCAGGACGTATTTATTTTTCAACTTTTCCGCTGCCTCTGGCGATAACCTCGGTCCACATTTACTGGAGATAATTTTTTGAAAGATAAACATTACAATTATAATAAAAATTGATTTAAATTTAATTTATTTATTTATAATTGTTATAATTTATATTACTACCTTTATTAGTATTTATTAGCACAAAATCCTTCGTGAACACAGACAGACACATCAACATTTACACTAATTTCACTAACTTTCTGCAATAAGTGATGTACTTTTTGAGAGTCTCAAGCTGCAACTCCCCGGGCCTCGACTCCTCCGTCATCAGGACTGCATTCACGTGCAAATTCATCACGTGACGCGCTATCGTCTGATTGGTGGGTTGATTGATTGGTCAGTTGTTTGGTTAGCTTATTGGCTAGTGAGGTTGACAAATTGAGTGATTGATTGATTAGTTAGTTGGTTGAGTTATTGACTATTTGATTGATTAGTGAACTGATGAACTCACGGCGTCCCTGGCTTCATCGTGTTCATCCTTAACGATGAAGATCATATCAAATCTGGAGAGGATCGTCGGCATGAAGTCGATGTTCTGGCTTCCCTTTGTGTCGTCCCACCTGCCGTAGATGCCGTTTGCAGCGGCCAGCACCGAGCAACGAGAATTCAGCGTCGTCGTTATACCCGCCTGTGTGAGAGGTGGGGAAAAAACTTTTGATGTTGCCACTAAATGATTGCAACAATACATTACAGCTCCAACATTGCAACATCCATTAGTTTTAAGGATATAATATCTCATTACAGATACAAGCCAATCAAAATCATCCAATCAATGCTGAGTCAATTCAACGAAAATTAACAGGCCAATCAGAATCCCACAACTGAAGAAACCCTCCATCAGACAGACAGACAGACAGACAGACAGACCTTAGCTATGGATATTGTCTGTTGCTCCATGGCCTCGTGTATGGCCACCCTGTCATCTTCTCTCATTTTGTCGAACTCGTCAATGCAAACCACGCCCCCATCGGCCAAGACCATGGCTCCTCCTTCTATTATGAAATTTCTCTGGTGGGCGGCAATGCAATGAAATGGAGAAATTACAATATACTGACGATGACATTAGCAGTGACGTCATTGCTAATGATGTCATTAATGATGATGATGATGGAAGTAAAAAAAAGACATAACTAATAATGATGACGATGACGTAAAAAACGGTTGTAATGCTAGTAGTAGTAGTAGTAACAGCAGTAATATTTATAGTAGTACTACTGCTACTGCTATTACAGCAGTAGCTGTAGTAGTAGTAGTAGTAATAATAGTAGTAGTAGTAATAGTAGTAATGATGATGATGGTGATAATTTAACTCATGAATATTCAAATCCTTACAGATGCTGGGTCTCTGATGACGGAAGCCGTAAGTCCTGCGGCACTGCTGCCCTTGCCAGATGTGTAAACCTACGAAGCAATCAATATAAATGAATGTAGGATGGATGGATGGTAAGACGATCAAAATGAATGAATGAATAATGGATGGATGGTAAGACGATCAAAATGAATGAATGAATAATGGATGGATGGTAAGACGATCAAAATGAATGAATGTAGGATGGATGGATGGTAGGACAATCAGAATAAATGTTGAAAAAATTATGGATAAAAGATTGAACTACATGAACAAGTAATGAATGGATAGTAAGACTGGATGAATAATTGAGTGAGGAAAGGTAAAACAGATAAAATAAATGAATAAATACACTAGACACACTCCAATTGGGGCACAATTTTCGACGAATTTTAAGAGTTGCGACTTGGCAGTCCCCGGGTCCCCCAGCAATAATAAGTTGATATCTCCCCTTCTTGTCAGTCCATCCGGCAATCTGGACGAATGAAGGATTGACTGAATGAATTATTGAATGAATGAAGGAAGGATGGATTGAATGAAGAATTGATTGAAGGATTGACTGAACGAGTGAAAGTTTAACTGGATGAATGACTGAACAAACAAAACACAGTTAAGTTTTTTTAAGTAAATTTCATTTTTAAGTATCATTTTAAGTAACGCAAGTAATTTTAAGTAAAGTAGCGAATCAAACTATTAACAAAATTCCCTGAAACCTTTTCCTAGATCCGCCAAACAGCAAACAAGCGATGGCCTTCTTGATATCCAAGCTTCCGAATATAGATGGCGCTATACTTTTAGCGATGGTTTCATAAATGTTAGGCGAAGAAGCTAAGTGATGAAATTCTTCTTCATCAGCCGACAAAATGGTTCTGCTTACTCCTAATCTGCCCAATCCAGTCGAGTCAATGTGCATACCAAGGACTCGGATGTATGGCAGACGAACACCAACATTTACTTTTTCTCTGGAATTTTTCTATATGAAATATGAGGGTTAATTCAATACTTTAATATCAATATATAAAGAAACATTTAACACTTTGAATGTCAGCCCATTAAGTATTATAATTCAACTATAAGAAATCTAACCACCAATCAAAAGTGCTAATCAATTATTTAATTATTTAATTGGTTAGCTAAGCCAATCAGAACCAACCAATCAAAACCATCCAATCAGAACCAGCCAACCTTAGAGCCAGCCATTTTTTTGATAGAATAGATACCGATGACAGAGACTCGATTTCCAGGCACGACAGCCTCACAAAGATTTCTGTCACAGTAAAGTTGCATGTGTCGGGGCAGCTCTCCATTAGGAACTGCCTCTGGAGACTCTTGTAATTTTAATACCTGAGGGGCATATATGTATGTGTAGATGTGTGTGTGTGTGTAGGTGATTGTGAGTGTAGATGTATGTATGTGTGTGTGCGTGAGTTGAAAAAAATGTTGAAACCTGAAAATCGACACACTTGCACTTTTCGGGGACAATGAAGAATGGGTCAACTGGACATTTTGGTCTGCCTGCCTGGTCACTAATCAATCATTCATTTATTCATTCAATGAATGAACCAATCATTCAACCAACTAGCCAACCAATCAGCAATTTATTTCAAAAGAGCCACACAGCCAACCAACTAAAAACAAAAAAAAAAACCGGACAATTACAGAAATGACTAATCAGGTAACCAACCAAATCAATCATGTAACCAAACAACCAGCCAATCAAACAACCAACCAATCAATCAATCAATCCACACCCCCAAAATCTAACGTTGGACATTTCCTAGGAAGGGCATAACCCTCAAACCCCGCCTTCACAGGAATGTTGTTGAGAAAATTCCGACAACTTCGGCACTGAATGGTGATCCTGGTGGCTTTAGACCTTGTAGACGCTGCTGCTATTATTATCCCAGGAATCTTTATCAACTGGGACATCTGATCTGACTGTGTGTGTGTGTGTGTGTGTGTGTGTGTGTATGTCTATGTGTTATAATGGTATGTGTGTAAAGCTGTGTGTGTGCGTGAAACTGTGTAGGGAGGTTTGCATGTGTGTCTGTGTGTTATAACAACATGAGTGAAACTGTGTGTGAGAGAGAGAGAAAGATTAAAGAGAGAAGGAAAACTAGTCAACCAATCGACCGACAGACCTTTAGATCCCTGATGGAGCATGGATGGGCAGATGATGTAAGGGTCACTTGAATGTCCTTCACCTCCTCATCGCCCTCCGGCCTTGGACGGGTTATCTCGTCTGCCACCTCTTTTGCAGCATCCTCAAACTTTTTTTAGTAAAAAACCACTCTTAGCCAAAAGTTTGAATGAATTTTAATTTGTATTGAAATTCAGATATGTCAGTATAAGGCGATAAACTTCCATAAAGAATGACCTGAAAGATGTAATGACGACAGCAAAGATGATGAAGATGATAAAGAATTGTGTGACAATGGTAATTCAATAAATGAACTAATATAAAAATAGTTGTTGAATAATTGTCCATGAAATATTATTGATAAATAAATTAATTTATTAAAAAAAGGAAATTTAAATAATATCAAATTAATAGGTCAAGCACCTCACCAACGACATATGATCAGCTGGGGACTTGCTGACCTTCTCAGCAAGATCAGCATCAAAATGGGAAAGATCATCTAGGTCAACTTCTACATGGTACTTGCGTAGATTGTAGTGACGTTTCAGTTGGTCTCTGAAACGATGAATATTCAATTTTTAATAAGTTTCTTTGAGTATCTTTTATTAAAAAATCATAAATATAGTCATTTAAATTTTGAATAATGTGTCTGCTGCTAACTTAACTTAAATTTTATCATTATCATTATAGTTATTGATTAAACTTATAAAAAAAAAATAATTTTTTTATTTAATATGAGAAAAAAAACTTGAAAAATTTGATTTTTTTTGTCTTGAACTGACCTATATTTGTAGATGAAGTTATTCTCGTGAAACTGCCTCAAAAACTCTCTGAACTTGTTTTTTATCTGTTGGTTGTTTGCATGTCTCTCGTCTGCTTGCTGGCCATCTTCTGCACTAAAATTGTCACTGAAAAAAATTCCCGGATCGTCAAAACCAGCCATGTTTGTTTGTTGTTTTGAAGCAGGTACTGGTTGTGCTTGCAAGATTGAAGTCTGGTGATCTGTTCTTAGATATGGAATTTATTGACTTAGTGTTCCGGGTCTAACGCACCAAGAAACAATAAAAAAAGGTACAGAGGTAGTTAGTTTTCGTTATAAAAATTTAAACTAAAATTTAAACTAAAAGGAAATGAAACCATAAAATTTATCATTTATGGTTGAGAAATGAGGAAAAATAAAAAAATATATAACCCCTTCTTTTCCTCCCTTGACGTCACGTTCAACAGTAAAAACTAGACAAATAAATGAAATTCTTTTTATAAAATTTGCTGTTTAACTTTTGAAATCATAAATTTACGCAGAAAAAAAAATTAGATCTAGAAATTAGTAATGTGGAATAAACAAACTGATAAATGGCGGGTTTTAGTGAATAAATGATGCAGCGCTAAACAATTCAAACAAGACAGGAACATTTACAATAACAACAATCACTTACTTCCCCGGATAGGATACCCAAATAAAAATGATTTAGAACTTTGAAATTTATCAAATATTAAGTCTTAAGTAGTGCCTTTAAAATGAAATTTTTATTTCTGAAGGCAAAAATACAAAATTTACTATTTAGTCAGTTAATATTATTTCATCAATAATTGTAGCTAATAATATTATTGCCCTTATATACATATATATATATATATTATATATATATATATATATATATATATATATGAATTGAACGCAGGGCTTTATGAAATTAATCAATCACTAAAAACCATGATACTATATATATATATATATATATATATTCAAGACATGAAAAAGTGTACGTCACTATCTTTTTCGTTCAATAAAATAAATTGATGTAAATAGATAGATAAAAAAAAGCTTATTAATCATCATTATCTTCAATAATATTAATAATAAAATTAATAATAATAATAAATAAGAATAATAAACACAATAATAACAATAATTCGTACGATATAACACCGACATTTTTAATGATAAGAAACATTGTTAAAAGCTGAGTGCGTTTTGTCAATTTCCTAAATTTTTTCTCTTAAACTCTCAAATTAGGTATAACAATTATGGCTCTCTCTCTCTCTCTTTCTTTTCCTCTCTCTCTCTCTCGCTTTTCCTCCAAAATTAGGCATAGTAATTTGGAGAGACTAGTAACTCGGTAAGTATGGCGAGTTGGTCGTCGGTGAACTTCTGTTTCAAGTCGTGCCAGTTGTCCAAGTGAGTCCTCTTGAAGCCGGCCAGTGTCTTCTTCGCTGTCATCTGTCGCCGAAAAATAAATTAATAATAATAATAATAACAACAACAACAAAAATAACAATAATAATAACAACTACAAGGAAAATAAACAGTACAAACGATAACAATAAGACACCTGTATTGGTTGTGGGTCATTCAGGTGTTCACTGAGCAGCATTAGCAGGTCAGGAACGTAGGCCGGTACGTCGTAAGGTGACGCGCTCACACACGAACACATCCCTGAAAAAACAATAACAATAATAATAACAATAATGACAATAACAATAAAAAAATTTCAAAAAAAACCGACCGATAACACCGGCATGACGTTTCAAGATGGCGTACTCGGTAACAGCAGCTTGGGCAACTGCTGGGCTGATAGCAGCTGGATACTGCTGGCCGTCAGCCAATAGGAAAGCGTGGCTAGAGGCCTCTCTGTAAAGTAACAACCAATTATAATATCTAATTGTAAAATAACGACCAATCGTTTCGATCCAACGTAATGTTTCCGCCAATTATATTTAATCTAATGTAAAGTAACAACCAATTAAATTAATTCAATCAATGTAACGCTTCGACCAATTGCATTAACCCAATTGTGTATATATATATATATATATATATATATATATAGAGAGAGAGAGAGAGAGAGAGAGAGAGAGAGAGAGATGTATATAGAAATGTATATATATTCTATATATGTATATAGAGAAATTAAATTAGAAAAATTAGTTACTTCAGCCTATCATTGGTCGGAGCAATATCAGTAAAAATACTTGAGTCCTCTGAATCTAAGTCTTCTGGTTTGAGCTAGTTGTTTGGTTGGTTGATTGGTTGATTGGTTGATTGATTGATTGATTGATTGATTGATTGATTGATTGATTGATCAACGTTATAAATTAGTTGAAGGCGATTAGAATGAACAAAAACAACGGAATGAAAATTCCACGACCAACTAACTATTTTTGACATCGCAGCTGACGTGGTTGTAGCGACAGATGTAGTAGCTGTAACAGCAGCTGTAGTAGCAGTAGTAGCTGTAGCAGCAGCCACAACAACATCCGTTCTGTTTTTTTTCTTCTTGCTGACTAATTTTGTGGAGGCCAGATGCTTAAAATGGTTCTAGGAGCAGTGAGGAAACGATAGAATGAATGAACGAATGATTGAAAGAAAGCAAAAATGAATGAACGGACAGATGAACGAAAGAATGAGCCGACGAAAAAACGTATGAAAGAATGAATAAATGAATGAATGAATGAAGAATGAACGAACCAAGAGAAATGAGTCGACTTGAAGGTATCCACACTGGAACAATCCAGAAAACGTCACACCTGCCAACTCTCTAACCTGAATGAATGAACAAATGAAAGAATAATAAAAGAACGAATGAATGAATGCATAAAAAAAGAGTCAAAAACCTTAAATAGGAATAAATGACAAAATCAATAGATAAATCACTAAACTACCGAACGAATGTACAAGTGACGGACAACAAACTTTTCATGATAACGATCATCATCATCACCATCACCACATCATCATCATCATCACCACCTCCAACACACATCATCATCATCATCATCGCTACTACCTCAACATGTTCGTCTAAAAGCCTCGGCAATAGAATGCCCTTGACCTTCTCGATGAACTTTGACTCCTGAAGGACGAAGAAGTTTTGAAATGTGCACCTCTGCAGGAAGATTAGTGAGGTTGATCTGGCGCGCCACGAGGGCATCAAGCTGACCTTTAAGTGAGAGGGGCATGGTTGAATAGGTTTCACTTTCTTCTTTTATTTATCCATTTTTCATTTATTCAGTCGTTCAGTCAATCAATGAATTCATCCAAAACGTTCATTTATTAAACTATCTTCTCAAAAAAACTAACCAGAAAATTATCTAGAAAATCCATCCCTCCATTAACCAATCAACCCAAACCAAATTTCATTCCTCCGCCTATTAATCGATCCACTAATATAACTTCACTAACTTCTTCGATAGAGAGAAAGACACGGTTGATAATCTGCTCGTTGGTCAGCAGGCCGTTGCTCATGACGGCCATCGTAAGTGAACACTCCCTACTCAAGTCAACATCACTTATGTCGCCCTCCAGTGTAGCAATCTTTCGGCGAATGAATGAATGAATGAACGAACGAACGAATGAATGAATGAACGAACGAATGAAATGAAGGAATAAACGAATGAACTCACGACAGGCAATAACTTGAATGGAGCCGGCTTGTCAGTTTGGTACATCCTCGTGAAGACGCAATTCAACATTTTCAACACTATTCAGTTATCACGATTGATTGAATGAATGATCGATTGACTGATTGAATGAATGAATAAATGAACAAATAAATAAAGGAACAAATGAAGATAGGAATGAATGAATGAATGAACAAATAAATATATGAAGGAAGGGAGAGGAGCGAGCGAATGAATGACTGAATGAAATGTATTTTAATTTTACCAGTTTTACAGAGTCTGATGAGAATCTTGCGACGGCCATCTCCAGAGGTATTCGCGTTGCTGGTTTCTTTTTGAGGTTGCTTTTGACCATGCTGCTGCTGCTGCAACTGCTGCTGCTGCTGCAACTGCTGCTGCTGCTGATATTCGTCATCATCGTCATCATCGGCAGTGGTCTTAGCGGCAATGGTCAGTAGTTGAAGCAGTAGCGGCAGCAGCTGATCGATGAAGTCGTTCATTTGTGGGCTTGTGGTGGCGGGGTAGTTTGGGTAAAGCTTCACGTCGAACAGGAAGAGGTTACTGAGGAAACTGATAATGGTGATGGTGGTGACCATCATGATGATGATGGTGATGGCCATGATGATGACGATGATGGTGATAGCCATGATAATGATGATGGTGATGGCCATGATGATGATGATGGTGATGTCGATGATGAAGAAGACGAAGATAATGACGATGGTGGTGAAGAAATAGTGATGACCATGATGATAAAAATGCTGATGAAGAAAGATGACGACGACGATGAAGAAGAAGGAAAACCGCCATATTCACTAACCTAGCGATCCGGTCCCTAACATTTTTGTAGGGATGCATGAGGTGATTGGAAAGATATTTCAGCAGTCGGTGGCTCAACTCGGAGACGCGCCACTCCTGCTGGACTATGGCGGCCTGGAGTAGATAGAGACGGCTACATGGGGATGGAATACAATCATCATCATAATCGTCATCAGTGTCATTATCAATTATCATCATCATCATCATCATCATCATCTTTAACATCATTATCATCGTCGTCATCACTACCATCATTTTTGCCATCATCATTATCAACAATGACACCATCATCATTATCATCTTCTTCTTCACCATCATCATCATCACCTGGAATCTCCGAAAGACCCACCAACTTCATTCAAAGGATTCTCCATCAGCAACTCAAACAAAGGCTTCAATTTTCTTGGATCTTGATTTGCCTTAAAAAATGAATGAATGAATGAATGAATGAATGAATGAATGAATGAATGAATAAATGAATGAATAAATAAATGAATGATTGAATAACTCATTCCAAATCTCACTATCACAAGTCATTAGCGACAAACACACATAGGTAAAAAAAAAACAAGCGAATCAACGACAACACACACAAAAACGAAACGCAAACGACAGACAGAATCACGGGCTTTGCACTCCAACCCGGGCACATCGACATCAGCGCCAGGCATCTTAACCCTTACACTACCATCGCAACCACACATACGTACACTAGCAGTGGCTATAGCCGTCCCCCAGTCCTTGATAGACTCCACCGACAGACTGGACAAGACCTGCTTCAAAACCGGCAACAACCACTGCCAGAGCTTCTCGCGCTATTTCATTTTTTATGGGGATGATGATGACGGTGATGATGATGATAACGTTGATGTTTATGATAATAGTAATAATAATAATAATAATAATAATAATAATAATAATAATAATAATAATAATAATGATAATAATAAAATTTTTTCTCTATGAACAAACAATACCCATCTTAATCGCAAATCACTCACTCACTTAACTCACTCGCTCACTCACTCGCTCGATTGCTCACTCACTCACTCACTCACTCACTCACTAGCCCATCATCACTATCTCACTTTATCGAAGGTCCAATGTTTGCTGCCCCTCAAGAGTCCTGTAAAGATCTCTGCGGCACACCGGTGGCTGGTTTCGTGGCTCTCTGGATTCGTATCGGACACTAATCTCTCCACTAGGGGTTTCAAAGCGCCTAGAACCGTATCATCGTAATTCCTGAATAGTCCCTGGATAGACAGATAGAAAAAACTAAATGGACGAATGAGTGGATTGTGGATTAATAAATGAATGAATAGGTGAATGAATGGATGGATAGATGAATGAATGAATGAATGAATGCATGCATGCATGGATGAGTGGATGGATGAATACTCCAAAAACCGACCGACCTTAAAAAATATGAACATCAGGGGCCTGTATTTATCTTTACCCTTATTTTCCTCCAATGTGGCGTACTCCATGAACTGGGTCACGAAATTGACGTCATTGAAGGCGTCGTAAACGGGCAGTTCGTCCTCCAACAATTCCGACCTCTGACGACCTAATTTCGGCTGCTTAGCTGACGGCTGGTAGCAGGTTAGCGGTCTGTGGTTAACGTAAAATGAGCATCCAATCATTGACCGCTAAAAAATAACCGACGATTCGAAAATTAAAACTTGAAACCCAAATAGAAACATTCAAATGGTCAAGAAACCAAAAAATTAATTCTTACACTCTCGATCAGAAACAGTCAACACCATAAACCACCAATCACGAAACCAACAAACGACCATCAGCCAATCAAGTTGAAGCTCACTTGGGCCAATCATAATACCCGATGTGGGTCTTGCACACGAAGGCGAATTCGTCGTACGACTTAGCGTCGGTAGGAATCTCATGGTCACAGTACATCAGCCACTTGTTGTTCGACGGGGGCACGTGTTTGACATGACCTAATTAAATATTGAATGACCCAATTAAATATTACATGACCAAATTAAATATTACATGACCACATTAAATATTACATGAACTAGTTAAATATTGCATGACCCAATAAAATATTACACGACCTAACTAAACATTCGCAAGCAAAAGTTGACCTAACTATTTGTAAACAAGATTAACTGGCTGACGAATGATAAACAAACAAATGAATAATCCCATACATGCACGCACACGTACATTAACACACACACACACAAACAAACACACACACACATACATATATAAACATATATACACAAGTAACGCATAGTTAAGACAGACACAAACACACACACAAACAAACAAACACACACACACACATACCGTTAACACAAGTTCTCCGGCTATTAACAACACCATGTATTGAAGAAACGTCATCATTGCAGATTGGCGCCATAGTGCCATTAATAAAAGCCATGCAAGTACTGTTATAAGCAGTAGTAGTAGTACTATCCGCATTAGAATAGCCAACCGCAGTAGTATAATTGCTATCACTAGCCATCGAAGAAGTAGTAACAGCTGCTGCAGGAGCTGCAGCTGTAGTAGTAGCAGTAGTAGTAGTAGTGGCAGAAGTAGTAGTGGTAACTTCAATAGCTTTTCGCGGTAAAGTTGACGAGTTAGGATCTATGACCATGAGCGGATGAATACGTTTCTGCTGCTTCAGTATGGCCGATATTGATAACACGGACGTCTGTGGTGACGATGATGACGACGACGATGATGATGACGATGAGGGTGACGATGATGATGATGACAATGATGAAAAAGATGGAAACTAGAGGAATAAAAAATAACCAACAAGCCAGTCAAAAAGAAAAAAAAAATACTACCTATATTAAAAGTAATAATAATTTTAGGCGATTAGACAGACCCTGCGAGCGTTTATCATGCTGTTGTTGAGGTTGTCGACGAAGAGTTTAACGGCGTTGGCGGGAAATCTGACGTCGTAGCGAATGAGAAGAGAGAGGAGATCAAAACAGACTTGCTGGAATTTCCAAAATCTAAAAATAGCGTCAAAAAGTTAGTAGAATTAGTAGTATATATAACATATAAAATATTACTTAATACAATGTAATGTAATAAATAATAAAAACTTAACACTACTGCTGTTACAACCACTACTGCTATTACTGCTACTACTACTACTGCTGCTGCTGCTTCTGCAGCTGCTACAACTACTACTAACAAGTTTTCATTATTGGCGATGTTGACAAGCTCAGACACAAGATTGTAGTAGTTCCTGACAAAAAACATTAAATATTATTTTTAATGAATGTACGAATGAATGAATGAACAAATGAACAAATGAACGAATGAATGAATGAACGAACGAACGAATGAATGAATGAATGAATAGTATGATATTAAACGAATAACTTTAAATTTTCTTCATTTCTTCTCTCTTCCCATAAAACAGCTTCATTCATTTCTTTTTCACTCGGTCGACCCACTAAACAAGCTGGTCCACCCTTATTATCCCAAATGGTACGTGCCAGTTCTATGCATTTGGGGGTTACCTTTATACAAAATTTATTAATCCATCAATCAGTCAATCAATCAATTAATCAAGCAATCAATCAATTAATTAACAAATTAGACAGCCAACCAACCAGCCAGTCAGCAAAACAACCAACCGATCAACTAATCAACAAACAAAC